ACTATAGAGAATGTGCTCCATCAAAATGGAGGAATAAATGAAGGAGATTAAAAATGCAGGAAAGCAATAAAGGCAGGGCAAAGAAATCTTCCTAACGATAAGGACAGTCCTAAACTCAAAAAAGCTATGGAATAAGACTAGAGTAAACTGAACCAATCAGGATTGGAGCAGGTCTGGGAGAGATTGCTAACATATACATGATTGATAGAACACTCGATGTGCTTGGATGTACTGAAAGAAGTTTCATAACTAGGGGAAGACTTTGCAGTTGACTGAAAAAAAGAATTCATTGGCCTAGGTACAGTCAAGTGCACTAGACACTGCTTCTCATTAGGCTGAGACCACATGCGAGGCTCTGGTTTGATTCCTGGCTCATTCATAAAAGTTGAGAGCAGGGTCAACTCCGTGGCTTATCAGTAATATACTACTCAAGAGAGGCTGGATCACAGTGAGTACTGTTCAGATCTCCTTTGGTCTGCCTGAAATACACCAGGCCTGGCATGAGTGCCCAAAATCTGATGGGCTAGAGGACTGGAGGAAGATTAGGCCCTGAAGAGAGTGCTTCTTTCTCTTCCTCTTTCTTGCCTGCATGTATATACATTATCATGAATAAAGTTCAAGACAAGAAAAATAAAGCTGGGCAAGGTAGCAAGCACCCCTGGGGGGGAGGGGTTGTGATTTCTCACTTTCCCCATCTGTCTCTCTCTAGGGAGCATATGCACCCTATGGCAAAAACCCAAAATAAAGAGAAGAAAGAAAGAAAGAAAGAAAGAAAGAAAGAAAGAAAGAAAAGTAGAAACTCCCAAGTGTCCTTTAGTTGAATCAAGTTTTATAAATAAAGCATAAACTACAATAAAGGCATTACTTGGGGTGCTAAGGCAGAAGGGTCACACACACTGACAGCCTCCCTACAAATACCACCACACACACACACATTCATTATCTCTAAGTAAAATGAAATATTGTACAGTAAAGGAAAGTTAGATTAAGCATGACATGGTGGATTATGAAGAGATCCCTCTCTCTCCTGTCTCTCTCTGGTGACAGTACACATGCTCTCTAGCACATTTAAAACAAAAGGAACAGGTACTGGTATATGCTATGTGAATGAATCCTGAAAATACAATAACTAAAACCAGCCCAGTCAATGGGGCTGACAGGTGGTATGGTGGTTAAGGGTGCTTGACTCCCACATGACTAAGCACAGTTCGAGTTCCGGATTTGGCGACTTGCTTTCTCACTTTCTCTCTCTTTTTCTGGTGAAATTAAAATAAATAAATTAATTAAATTAAATAATTAAAAAAAATAACTAAGTCCAGTCATTAAAGACCAAATATATGATTACACTTTTTTTCTTTTTATTTTTTTGAGAGGTTTTTGTTACAGTGCATGTGTGCTCGCCAGCAAGCCAGAGAGACAGAAAGCAAGAAATTTCCCCCCAGGGGGCATGGCCACGCTGCAATCCCTTCTCCTCCATTCTCTTCTCGGGATCTTGGGCACGCACGTACACGTGCCCAGTGTGAGTTTAAGCCACTGGGTCCAGGACTCAAACCACGATCAACTACATGGGAGTCCAGTGACATAGCCATTATACCAACTGCTGGTCCTGATATATGATTATACTTATGAAACGTCCAGAATCTGTACAGATAAAAACATACTAACAACTATCTAAGGGCCGGGAGAGGGGAGAGTGGTGGCAATAGAGAATGACTACTAAAGGACAAGGGGTTTCTTTCTGGGAGAAGAAAGTGTCTTAAAATTGAACATAATGAAGGCTGCAGAACTCTGTGATCACGACACATACACACATGCGTGCGCGTGCACACACACACACACAAAGTGAATCATATACTTTAAGTGAGTGCAATGTATGATATGTAGATACAATAAAGCTGATTTTTGTTGTTTTTGTGTTTTTAAGAGAGACCGTTGCTTATAGGGCATGTGCACTCATCGGAGAGACAGAGAGAGACA